AAATTTATGATTTTTAAGAAGTTAAGTTCTATCCTGCACAAAATAATGAAAATAATGTAAAATCAAATAAAATCATATTAAATCCATTTAGATATTAATAAAATCAAGGCTAAATTAATTTCATATTATGAACAATAATTCAACTAATCAAGTACTATAAAAAAAAGGTTGGTAAATTTTATATTAAAGTTTTATTAAGACTTCTAAAAAAAATAAGTTTTATTAATATTTTTGTTAAGCTATTACTAGTGGATTTCTCTAATTAGAAAAAAAAAAAAGAGATAAAAGAGAATCAAAACTAGGATTATGATGGCAACGATGGAAAACAACTTTTGAAGAAGCATAAGGGGTATTCTAACCCCTAAGGCATAAAGGTAAGTAAAATAGAATTAGAGAATAATGTTAAAAAGTTGTGTCACATTTATCTTGATCTAGAATACTTCTAATACAGACAATGAGAGATGAAAATTAGAGCAAAAAAGATTTATAATAATAATTGAAGATACAAAGAGTGACTCAAAAGAATAATTAATATAGAAAGATTGATTTGGCTTATTAAAAAATATGTGTAACGAAAGATAAGTGAGAGAAAAGAACAATAAAAATTAAATTATTAACATGGAGAGAGAAAATTAATATGAGTATAAGATAAAATTATATAATGATAAAATATGAAGAGTAAGCTAAGACATGAAACTCAAGAAAAGTAAGCAAGTGGTTGTACTAAGATAATAATGTTAAAAAGTTGCACTTTTTTTGTTTTGACATAAAACATTTTTAATATAAAGAAGGGGCAGAGAAAAAAAATGAGTGATAAAACACTTGTAGAATTTTAATTAGGTGATCGATAAAATTGAGAAAAAATTGCAATTAATGAATGCTAACAAAGGTTAAAAAAACTCAATATATAGAAGGAAAAAGACAGCAAATGTATGATATAAAAACAAATATAATGATAAATAGTGATAAGGGAAGCTAAGAGATGGAGTTACAAGAAAAGCAAATGAGAGGTAAGTAATAAGGTACCAAAGAATAATAGTAATAAGCATAGAATTAAAAGAAGGATTATGATAGCAATAGTTGAAAACAACTTTTAAATGAGTACAGGGGGTACTCTAACCTTAAGGTGTAAAGATAAGTAAAAAAGAATTAGAGAATAATATTAAGAAGTTGTGTTACTTAAGTATTGGTTTAAAACATTCCTAATAGGCAATAAGAGATAAAAGGACATTATAGTAAAAAGAGATATATAATGAAAAATGAAGTTATAAAAAGTGATTAAGAGAAAAATATAGAAGGAAAGAAAATGATGTCAAATTAAGGTTTCATATATAATATATATTTGTTCAACTCAGCTTTTATTGGTGTCAAAGTCAAACAAAGAAAATGATGAAAGGAACTATATTGCAATTTTTAAAAGGTTAGGGATAAATGTGCAAGAGAACTAAAGGTTGATTTATTCTTCAATAACTAATTATTT